TTTTGCATATTATGTAACATATCTACATCGGTAACATATCTACATCAATTGGATATGTCTGTCTTGATCTGTCCTAAAAAACCAAAGTGCATGGCCAATCTGGATCTTATTTCTACATGCCAACTCCAAAATTCACACAGAGCCTGCCAAATAGGGGCTGGAAGATTAGTTTCCACTAAAATCAGGCTATTAGTTTCATGGTCTATATCAATTTTTGGGGTACATCATCCATTGTGGCCATTTTTGGCCATCAGATCTTCCCGGACCCCTTCAGAGCAGCCGTCGACCTCAACTGCTTCCATGAAGGCGTCTCCGTGCCGCAGGGGCGACCTTGTCGAACTGGGTTTGGGGATCCTGGTGATAAACATTTGGCATACCACAGTTTCAGACAAGATGAAGATGAATATCATGGAAGCTTCAACCAATGGAACCATCAACCTATCAAGACTGTGGAGTTGCTTAGCAAGTTTAACCTGTCCTCAAAGCACCGGGCCTACGATTGTCAAGTCTGTCCTCAAGTCTTGTGGCCCTGAAACTACTGCATCGCAACCCCACAAAACAAGCAGTAAAATCCTAAGAAAATGCTCAATATACAGAATACATTATGATACCATAGTCTCCATAATCTCCTCTGTCTTTTTTGGGAGTTGCCGTAGTGAAATCCAGTTCCATTCCGACAGCTTGACACCGATGGTGCCTCGTGGGCGGCACTGGAAGCCCAACAGGACTGGCAGGAGTCGGGGTCTCTTGCGCCTACAGCTGCTGGGTTCTTGGAAGTTTTTGTGGAGAAAAGATGAACAAAAAAGATAATCAGTATCTATTGAATAGAACATCGATTGATATATCAACCGCTCAGGTTACAATAGTTACACGAAGATGACAACGGATCATCCAGGATGGTTTTGTGCACATGAAACAAAGACCAGGACTTTCAAAAGCTTGAGGAACTCGGATGTCATTTCAACAGTGACCTTCGTGGCCTCTGAACAGACACTTTTTCCACCCGAATCGGCAACCTGCTCCGCTTCAACAAGGCGCTCCTGTCATGGGGATGGGGTCAAACCAGCATCCAATTGCCCTGCGACCACTCCTAGCAACTGGGCATACAATTCGCCCAAAACAAATGAGTACATGATGAGTACATGATGATGTAATATCATGTAATGCATGATGTAATTAATGATGTAATGCATGATTTTTTGTGTTGTTATCTGTGCCAATGTCATAATGTCCTGATTTGTGGCAACATGCCGGGATGACCAGCAGCAAAGCCTTTCCACCACGACAGGAAAGACCTCGGTCCTTGCAGATCTGCTGCAACCTGAGGCGATGGGGTCATTGACCGAACCTTTTGGAAAAAAGTTCATCCATTGTTAGATAAAATCCATGTTCGATATTATGGGGTTCCCATAATGGAATTTATATCCACAATGGATTATCGATTTTTTTGATTTTTATTCACAATTCAAGTGGTCTAACAATGGGAATTTTAATCCACAATGGAATTTGAACTTGTGATGTTGGGCTTCCCATATAAACGATTGGTTCATAATACATAAGTTCAAACTTTTACAGCATCCCCATAATTCAAGTAGATTGCTGGTGTACCCCCAAGTTGCTGCGCAAGGGAAATCCCAAATCCCAGCGGTCTCATTTCAAGGCCAATGCCAAAACATGCCAAAACATGCCAAAACATTGGTCAACTGGGCATGGGTCAAACCCCGAAAACGTGAAACGTCAACAAAATGATTGTAGATATTCTTCCATAGCCAAGTGGCTTCATCCTGGCACCTTTTTGGGATGTCAAAATATGATATCACCAACTCACCAGGTTCCTATCGCCATGGACAGCCGCTCCAAGAAACTCCTTCGCCGTTTTGGTGCTCAAATCTTGGATGCCGCATGGAGCCCTCCACAGCTTTCCACAGGGATGTATCAGTGAAGTTGGGTGAATTTTAAGCAAAAATCATGGTGAATGGCTCAAAGTTACCCAGTTCATAGAGGTTGCAGTTGGGGAACCATCCCATTTTGCAGCTTGAGGTCCAATATCTGGCGGTGCCAATCTGGGGCCGCTGCTTGCGTGCTTTCTTGGGCACCTGATCAGATTTTGGGCCAAGTACAGCTGATGATCATCCAATCATCCGAATCGAATCGTCAAAGGATGGAGAAATCACATGTCACTGGAGATGTTGTAGATGATGAGATGGGATTTATCCCATGTCCCAAAAAATGCAGAATTCTTTCAACCTCTGTCCTGGATGTTTAGAGTATCTCTGAATGGAGCGACATTTTGACCGAGAGTTCTCTACCTCTGATGGGGGCGGCATGCGACGTGGACTCCAGGTGGGTCGCGGTGATCCTTCGCGGTGAGCCGTTGACTGGGGAGCCAACGGTGTGAAACAAAAATATCTTGATATATGTTGTTGATACATAAGGATTTGAGCAACAGAACCCCATAAGAATGGCCAAGAAGAAGACAACATCTTCAAAGTGTGCGAAAAGCTGACAGCTTAATGAAAGTTGTTTCGGTAGGCAAAGAATGCATTGGATGTTGTGAGGGTGGCGATATGCCTGACCAATTTCGGTACATTTTTTAATTTTGAAAGTTCTACGGGGCATGGGAACCCTAGAATAATAGAGTGTTTGAGTGTGAGTTCAATGAGCCCCAAGACTGAGAACACGCGCTGTTTGTTGTTTGCATGGAACGTCATAGATATTTTAAGCATGAAATCCTTCCGATCATGAATCATCGGGGCTCTATCTTTCAGCTTCCATATTTTGCACTGGTACCCAACAGCCCAATATCATGAGCCGAGCTGTCCTTTTGGCACTGGAGAATTGCCTCTCTCAAGGCCTTCCAAGGATCGATAAACATGGTGAACTGGTGAAACTTCACCAATCAAACAGGATGGTTTGGTGCAAACTTTCGAAGTGTAAACAATGTGAACCAATGGCCATGGGGACAGGAATAAAGCTAGGGGTATTTCATCACCAACGGAGAAGGAAATTGATGATCTGTGCTATCTGAAGACCCCTTGTGTATTTACATGGGTAAGTTGTGCATCAGCACTGGGATTGTTGCCGAGTGGTGCAATGGATATGTCACCCACAAGCTAACTAATCCCCGAAACTTTCTCAGGTTTCATGGTTCCCCGAAATGGGGTCGGAAGACAACCCCCCAAGATCCAATGGTTCATCATTATTTCCCTCAGTTGATGGCCATCTGGTTGGTGGTATACCTACCTCTCTGAAAAATATGAAAGTCAATTGGGATGATTATTCCCAATATATGGAAAAATTGTTCCAAACCATTAACCAGCCATAGTAATTGAGGGCTCCACTGGCACCTGGAAACTCTGTGGCTTCGATAGAGTCACCACCTACAATCTTCGATGACATTTGGGGATGGATTTACTGATGAAAAAATGGGGACTCAACCAATGAATCATGGGATAATAGGGATTTAGGTATAGACAAAGGGGATTTTGAACATGAATCATATCCCAGTCATGTACCTTCGAAATATGCTTGTGGGTCAAGACCTTGTCACCTTTGTGAAGCTGAAAGCCGGGATCTATGGACGTGAATAAACCAACAAAAAATGACATTTGGCAGTGGATTTCCAAGAGTGATTCCAGTCCTGGAATTGGATGCATCACCCCTGCCCCCTCGTTGTTCAATCTCCCCATATTTACTTGCCATTGATCTCCTCGTCTTTGGCAAGTATCCTCATATTTCTTCAATCAGAATCATCTCCATGGTTCTTGTTGCTACGAACCCCTATAGATGTTTCTCTTGCTTCAAACATCCTCTTCATAGTTGTCATAAATATCCTCAGATCAAAATCAAAGTTTTCGTCGAACCTTCGTCCTGCTGAGACTGCACCGGGGACGCGCCAGCCGAGACACCTGGCAACATGGAACTTGCCCGAAAATGGGTGTGTTCACCCACTAACAATCAGGATTGCATCCACCAGATATGGTGATTTTACATGGGAATCTCAGGTCGAAGCTGCGATTTTATCGAAGCTATGGAAAGTCAACACTTTGCATAGGTTCATCATCTAGAATTTGGTTGATTTTTAATTGCCGAAGGGCTCTAACAGATCTTCCCTTAGACACGACAATGTGGATATTCCACTTGAAATTAAGATGAACAAATGAGCGCTATGGGGCCCAAAAAAACAATGCCCCATTCATGTGGAGGCCAAAATCCTAAAGATATAGGCCTGGAAGCCTGGCATTGCGGTGTCTCTGGGCTGAATTCAACAGCAAATTGATCAGGGAGAAAGACGTGGACATTGCTGGGATTAGTTCCTTCTAATATTGAACATCCCAAAAGCATCTCAAAAACCATGGTTTAGTGGGGATTTACACATATTTGGGACCCAGCTGACCACAGAATGGGGTAATGTTACGGGGATGGGTATGCTCTCGGCTATTTCAATAGGGAAAAATGAGGATTCACCAACAAATGGAATGTTTTTTTCCCCCTATGGTTTTGCCCTGAATTTTCAATCCCAACTGTTCTCCACCACCCCTTGAGCTCTAAAGTCGCCAGCCTTGATCAAAGGGATGACAGGCTTGGGTCTCTGGCAAAGTGAGCAGATTGCCTGGCATCAAAAGGTGCAAATCTCTAGCAGTTTGGGACCATGTCAACCAAGGCTTGATTGGAGGTACCACTTTTTTCAATAGACGATCATTATTTTGGGGGAAACGTCCCTTTCATGAACCAGAGTTTGATCTGCGGTTGACGTTTAGGTCATCTTCACTTTTGGATTTAGCAATCAACATCACAATATATCCCACTTGTATCCCGTATGATCTGTCCGATATGGTTTTATTTTTGGATACTGTGGGGAGATGCATTTTTCGTAGCGATTAAGAAATCTTTGAGGCGTACACCATCCCACAGCAAAGTGGCTTTTGTAGCTTCAGAATGTTTCACATAAATGGTGATCCCTCCTAATTTTGCCACAAAAACGGTGAGAGTTTTCCATTCAAAGCAGCCATTGATCATGTTGGGATCTATTCATTTCCATTCATCACCTGAAGAAAGTTCTAGTGATTTCCATTCATCACCATTATCATGGATAAATCAAACTTCACAAAGCTGAAGAGCTGGGGATCTTTCGGGCTTTAACACATCAACCCATCATTCCGACGTAACGACGGCCTCCGGGTGCCTGGGATTCCTCTCCTGGCGTTTCTAGTGGTTCAATCCCGATTTCTATTGGCTGTCCAATGGGGAAATGGAGCTGTCTGGCTTGGAAACCGTTGTTTTAAAGCATCATTTTGTGTATCAAAATGGTCGAACATTGAGGGGTAAGTGAGACAAATCCATGTTTTGGTAAACAAGAATGATGGGTGTGTCACTAAACCCATCTATCAGTGGTGAAATGGGATTGTTATCTTTCTCGATTAGACACCAATTTGCATCGGCGAAGTCGAAATGTTCATTGCCGAAAGATCATTGACCCACATAAATCCACATTTTTAACCATCATTAACCCACACTAATCCATAGTTTGTTGGTTAAACCCACATTGACCCACATTGTTCGTAGTAAGAACCGCGGAAGTTCAATGGTTGCCTCCTCCCTGACTCTGCGACAAGGGCGTGGCAGCCTGAAACGGTGGCAATTATTGGATGTTTCGCAATTGTTGGTGACGAATTGAAGCTCACTTGTAATTTTGATGGATCATAGCCATTTTTGAAGAGATTTAAACATTATCAGTTGGTGACTAATGTGATTTGATCTCTAATTTTCGAATCTCTGCAAATAAGGATTTTTGATCATCGGGATTTAATGGGTGGTATCGGCCAAAAAAAATGCGGCAATGGGCAATCCCTATCTTTTGAGAAATTCCCATAATTATAGATATAAATGTAGAGGATTTCCATTGCCGAGTCAAGCTAGATTTCTTGAGAGAAGTCGAAAAAGACTGAAACTATTGCACCAAGTGAACTTCTTTTCTGGAATACAAGAACCCTGAATTCATTCTGTGTTTTTGTTTGAAAAGTACTAAGGGAGACTGAAGCTCACCCTGATCTACCCATATCTTCACGAATAGAATATCATTCCCAGGCCCAACCTCAAATATCCAACTGTGGTGAGATGTCTGTTTTTTCACAAGGATGACACGCACAAATCAAGAAGTGTCTCCATGGAATCATTAGAAGGCCAGCATGGCCCCTTGTTCAAGGATGACATGCACAAAACCTTTTGTGCTTGCTTTTGTTCATGGCTCAAGAAAACTTAGCTGCTGGGCGCTGGCGGCTTAACCTGGTTTCGCAGGTTATGAGCCCAACCTTGGGTCTCTGACCATGTCGCTGTCGACGCTGCGGCGGAGGGAAAATTCGAGGGCCAGAGAGCTGACGCCTGATGGACGAGCACCAGGTGAAGATCAGGCTCAAGGCGCTCGAGCTCCTCACCGAGGAGAGGGCAGAAGGTTGGAGATCGGGGGCGCTGGCAGGAGATTGGAAGCCCTGTTGGAGGAGGAAAGGACTAGAGCGGCTTCGGTGCCGGTGGCTGGTGTCCGCCGACTCCGGTTGGAGGATGGGCGAGACCAAACCCAGGCCTTGGATGATGGAGGCCGGGAGGCTGCTGGTCGTGGGGCGCAAGGATCGGAACCTTGGAGGACGGAGCCAGAGCCATGGAGCTTGGCCAGCGTCAAGGCGGACCGATGGAGGCCTTGGATGATCCCAGAGCCAGATCGAGCCATGGGGCTTGGCCAACTTCAAGATGCGGTCCGGCAGTCCTATGAAGTTCTTCAACAAGCTCTGGGACGGACACAGCCGAGACCAGGGCTACTAGATCCCCTTCTTCAAGGCAATGATCAAGGTGCTCAAAGGGGTGGTGTTCTCGACGACAGAGGGGAACGATCGCTCTTGCAAAGTACTCCAGCTCGAGCTCAGGCGGGCCATAGACCTGAAGTTGGACGTTCAGGAGGCTGTGAAAGCGCTGATGGACTTCGTGCTGGAGGTCAAGTTGGGGGCAGAACTGACATAGCCCCAAGAGTTTTGGATCCATACGGGACGCCTGGACAGAACCAAGGTCAACAGGTGAATCCTTTTTGGAGTGACGCAGTTCGCAGGGGTGCCATGGAATGCGCTCCTGGAGCTGGAGATCAGCGTGGTTCGCCGGCCGGACAGGTTGGTGTGAGTGGCTTGACTTCTGGACGAGATAGGAATCCAGTGGAAAGCCCCAAGGATGAAGTTGAACGTTTGCGTGCTCGGATCCTACGGGAGGCTGAAGAGGCCTTTGGCAGGGAGGTGAAGAAGCTTGGAATCTATGAAAAGGGCGACGGTGACTCCTATCACACTGCAACGAGTGCGGGTGGTGGTGGAGGTCAGTCGCAGGTTCCTCGGCAGCCTCAAGCTGATGGTCCATCTTTGGAACCTCCTCCGGGATTGAATCATGTGAAGATATCTGATGGAGCAGGCGACCAAGTAGTTTCTGAATCGCTGCGCCATCTGGAATTGCCAGGTTTGCCACAAGTTGGAGCTGAAGGAGCAGCCTTGCAGTTCGGAGATTGGCTGACCATAGCCAGTCCACTCATGTCAGACTTGGGATCATCATCGAAGAAATGGTGGGAACAGACAGTGAGGCTGGCTGAGGAGTTCGCTTGAATCTACGCCCTTGGAACGTCTCCGTCTCAAGCCCACGGTGGAGGTTGGCCCAGGGTACCAGCGCCTGGAGCAGAGGGGAATCTCAATGCTATTGGGAATTCTGCCAGAAGCCCTTCGACGGGACATCGTTGGGGCCCGCAACGTATCCATGGTGTCAATACTCTACCGCCTCTTCGTCGTGTTCCAGCCTGGCGGAGGAGCTGAACGAAGTGCTCTTCTGAAGAACCTTACTGACTTGAAGCCTGGTAGTTCAGTGGCAGATGTCCTGAGCTCGATTATAGGCTATGGAGACGATGGATTTCCCGCGCAGAGGAACTTCGTCTGACGATACCGGATTCTCTGGTACTCATGCAGGCCCTCAATAAGGTCTCTGAGGCACTGAGCCGCATGGGTGGGAACCAAGTGACGTATCGGATCTCAGCTGTTCGAACAAGAGCCGCAGGTCGACCAAAGACCGGGGTTGTCGGAGGTCAAGGAGTTTGCCGAATTCCATGGTCTACGAATGGCAGAGCCTTGGGAGCGTGGTGCCTTGGAGCCCATGCAGGTGGAACTAGCATCGGGTTCAACCTGGCTCTATCGCCATGGCAGCCACAAGACCTTGCTCAGCCTCACCCAAGTGGAGCCGATAGTGCCATTGCACCGATTGGTTTCCATGGGATTCCGAATCGAATGGTCGTCAAAAGGATGCAGGATCTTTCATCCCTCTCGAGGGGTCATCCAGTGCTCGCTTCGGGGTGGTTGTCCGACGATGGAACGTGGAGAAGCTCTTCTGCTCTTGAGGGAGATGGAGAAGATCGATGGATCCTCCATGGATGTGAATAGCGAGGAGTTTAAATGGTGGCGTGAGAACTTCCCGGAGACCCCAGATCGAATCCTCAAACGGATCTTGGGTCAGGGGGAGGCATGGGATCCAGGAGCTCTGCCATGGAACAGGCATCAACGGCGAGCCCATGAGAAGAGAGGTGTGGCGATCCATCTCTTCAGTGGTCCCAGTGTCAAAAAGTGGCGAAGTTCAGATGTGGGTGGCCTGGAGTGGGTGTTCGTCGACACGTGCCTGGGGTCTATTGCAATATGACCTGCACAGGCCGGTCGTATGGACCTACCTCTGGTCGCTAGCCCAGCGGGGACTGATCAAGCTGATCGTCGGTGGCCCACCTTGTCGAACTGTGTCAAGGTTGAGAGGTGGACCACCGGGTCCTAGAAAAGTCCGTGGTCGCGGGGTAAACCGCCATGGGGTACCGGACGCAGCTGAACAGGAACTAGCAGAGGGCGATACATGCCTTCTCCTGAAGCAGCTCGCCCTTTGGAGGCGAACGGAACAAGCCCGTGCTGGCCAAGGATGGGTGACTGGCTTCTTGCTGGAGACGCCCCAGGATCCGGCGTCGTACCTTCTCGAGGAGGAAGGGGCTGACTGCCCATCATTCCTGGAGTTCCCAGAAGTCAAGAGCCTGGTGGAGAAGGAGGGAATCCACGAGCTTGGTCACCAACTTGCCGCACATGGAGGAGTTACACCAGTTAAGAGGAGGTGGAATCACTGGAGAACTGAGCGCCGATCTTGGGGAGCGCATCAGGAGCTCAAAGACGTGGGCTGAGTGGTCTCCAGGGTTGGTTGCAGCGATCCAGGAATCGCTGAGGAGATGGACGGCGTTGGCCAAGTCTTCAGGGGGCTCTGTAGGGGTCAAGAAGATGGACCTGGAGTCCTGGAAGAAACACGTGCTGAATCAGCACCAACCTTTTCGGCGAGATTGCCGCCGCTGTATGGAACTGATGGGCAGGGATTCTCCACATCATCGGATGTCCGGGGATCGAGCCAGTCATGTGCTCACGATGGACATTGTCACATTCCAAAGGATATCATAGGATGCTAGATTCAAATCTCAAGGCTCGCAAATATTTCGGATAGAAACAAGGATGCTATGGAGAAAATGTGACCCTGGTCATCGCTGCAAAAAAGCCTTGGAAATTAAGGTCGTGACATCTTTGACTCACTCGTCCTGACACCCAACAACTGTTCGACTAGTCTGAATCACAGCAACAACGTTTCAATCTCCATTGATTGCATTGCAAGGTTCAAAACTTAGAAAACATCTGAACTCCACCATGTCTTCGCTCTGGTCGTGTGTCATCGTGTGTCATGCGTCGGCACCCGCCTCGGCTTCCTCCCAACAAAAGAAGGACACCAGGCCGCAGAACATCGAGTCCAAGCAGCCGTGCACCTCGACAGCACACAGGATCAGGATCAGAACGGTCGTGCCGTGGAACAGAGTCAAAACGACGTCTTGCAGTCTTGCACAGGATTTGGACGTCTTGCCACACTGAGACCTGTGCAAGTTTGCGGCCCCGCTTTTTGCGTTCTGCTCGTCTTCGAATGGCATCCTGCCATGTGTGCCATCCCAATTTCTGGGATCAAATCAAGGCGATCGCTAGCAATTGTTGGAGATATAACATCGAAACACTCCAAGAATTTTCATTGATGTTCATGGATGTTTCATTTCATGATTTTTTCATGGATGTTTCATGGGATTTCGCTGATGTTTCATTGGTTTTCTCACTAACTACAGGCCGCCTCTTCCCACTTTTTCGCCGCTGCGGCCCAAAGCAGGGCTGCTTTGTTCAACTGAGAGGCCATGGCTAAGAAAAATGTGAGAAACCTCGATGGAAATTTTCTGGATACCATCGGAAGATATCGGAAGATTTTTTGAGCTTCAAACTTGCCCTGCCGCCGCAATGACGGGATGAACTTTGACAATAGCACTCCTTGCTTTCTGATGTTTCTCAATCAGATATCGCTGCATCTGTTGTACCTTTGGCATGCTTGCTCTCGGTCTGGGCAAATGATTTACTGCAAACAAATACAATTGAATTTTTGAAATATCGACAAAAATCCAGTGGTTAATTGCGGTGGATGAATTCGTCCATGTTAGGCGGGCGGACCATTAAAAATCGATGTTCCTAAATTAGCTTGCTTTCTGGGATAGGCTCAGTTGCACCTGGAATCAGACTTGCACTGCTGTGTAGCCACCGCAAGTGACAACTGGTGCGTCAAGACATCAAGAAATGCTGCACCACTGCACAATACAACCTGTCTAAAGATACAATTTGAAGTTGTCTACATTCTGCATTCAAACTTTTCACTTCCCACTCCGCTTTTTACAAAAACAAAGCACGGCTAACATTGCACGCGAGGATCATAGGTTTCTGGGCAGGGCGACGGATCTTTTTGACTCACCAGAAAATCGTCCTTCTTCATCAAGCGATCATTGATTGCGTATCTCGGTGCAAGTCTGAGTCTAGAAATCCCCTGGATGGTTCGAAGTCACTCAAGGTTGCAATCAAGTCTGAAGGCCAAGCTATCATTGCATCGCTCACCTTTGGGTTTTTGATATCTTGACTATACTGATTATCCTCAGGCAAAGTAACTATCAGAATGTGAGAAGTTATGAAAAAACTGCTGGTAGACATTCACGGACGGTAGAATAAACAAATAATCTCTGCATAGAATTGAGCCAACCTTGAAAATTGCAAAAAGGAATTGAACATGCTCCACACGCCCTAAGCCGCCCCATGGTGATTCATGGAATTTTGAAATGTTTTTGAATCATTTAACAAAAAAAACATGCTTTAAAAAAGGTATCAGTGTCAGATAAGTGGTGTGACAATGATCAAACCATATCAAAAAATGTTCATATCATAGATATTTCGATGATATTTCCATATATTTCCCATAGACGCTTAAAAGCTCTAAAATCCTCCCAACCCGCCCAGTGCCCTTTGGCCCTGCCGGGTGCCTTGCAACCCTTCTCCGCATCCCAGAGGTCTGTCATGGCGAAATGTCTCAAGGCGCTCATGAAAGCTTCAAAGCAGCGGTTCAAATACTTGAGTCATGAACAGCATGGCAGTGGTGGATGACACCGGACAATCTCGGTGGATGCCGCCTATGATGGTCCGTGATGGAGTCCCAACATGTGCAAATAATCGCAGCTGGCACCTCAAAGACTTTGTGTTTATCAAAAGCTATGAATCTGAAATTCTGGATGACACTTGAATCCATTTGATCACATGGGTTTTGTTCTTTACCTTGCACGTTCTCTGCCGTACATTTGGTTTTGGGTCGAATTTGAGGACCCATGGCCACTATGAGTCAAAGATGTTGATGTAAACGATATGCGGTATGATGTGGTATGTGATATATGATGTACGTATCACCGCTACATCCTAAACGATTCTAAATCAAGGTACATCAAGGCACCCTTCATGCAGGGTCCTTGACCATCATCTGAGACCAGATCTCCAGGGCACGGCACCCTGGGCACCCTGACAGAATACTCTTCATGAACGGGCAGGCCGGCATCCTGGCCATAGTCCGGGAACGAATTTTGGAGGTATCCGCAAATTTGGCCGCTTCTTGGAACTAAATCCTGTGTGGGGGTGTTTACACTTTCTGTTACTTATTATACTTGTGTGTTCTTTTTTTGTTACTTTCTGCAACTATTTACGATGTGTTTGCGCAGTCTCTGTCGCTCGTCACTTTTTTGCAACTGTTTCTATACATGTAGCTGGGGTTGGAATGAGGCCCCAAAAAACTTTCAAATAGAAGATATTCATGCAATTAGTTTTGTACGGAGGTATCCGCAAAGATCATGTGTGTACTATGTATGGTAATCAGTTTATTGCGTGTATTGCAACTGTGATCCTGATGACAGTAATAAGAATATACATATACGTGCATACATGCAATTTGCATGCATACATGCAATTTACATGCATACAAATAGATATATATATATACATGCAATTTACATGCATACATACGCATATGGCAACATACATGAGCCCTCACATGAATATTATGCCGGATGCTCTCAATGCAGGTCTGGGTTTCCCCACCCTGCAGAACCCTCATAGGTGAAGCACAAATCTGGGCGACGGAAGCACACCAGCGAACGGATGGCAATTGAAATTCACTTCATGAATCTGCAAATTCATGCAAATTCACTGTGATCCCCGAAACAAATTTAATGGTAGCTGCTTTTCCCTGACATCCGACATACCTTCCTACGACACATATCTTCACTAACTGGTGAAGTGACTGGATTGAAAGAATTTCAATGCATTTCACACTTTGCAACGACGTCTTCGTCATTTTGCATGCCTTGAGCCTTGCTGAGCCTTGGGCCTTGGGACTGAATCAGAAGCATCTTTGAATCTTTGAAGGTGAAAGTCTCCTTGGGGAATCCTCCTGACGCGAGTCACGATAGTCAGCACGATCCCGGGCCTGTGAGTCAAATCGAAATGACAAATTTTCACAACCAGACCATTTGTATT